ATCTATTTCATGTGCTACTTCCTAATCTTATTAAATAAATTAGCAATGCAATGCAACCCTTTTTTATTTTTTATGTTCAGTGGAAAACAGATAATACTGCTTTATTGTGTATAATCCTTTCACATTATACCACTCATGCCCTTCTTCCTTCAAGCCTCTATATTCATTGCTAAGTGCTTTTCCTTTAAAAAAAGGCTTAACTATAAATAGATTTTGGTCCACTCTGTTGCTCCAAGAGGTACAATGTACATTTGCATTACATTCTGACAAAGAGCTTTATCTGCCACAGGCAGAGAGATATCTATTCTTTACAAGCATCCTACAATCTATTTCATTTACAAAGCTTCTGAAATGGCCACTGCCTGTCAATAGATTTGCTAATTAATCTCTCAGAGTCTGTCTGAGCTGTAATGCACAAAAGTATAAATCACAATTTAGTTTTTGGTTGCCATGATCCATCCATCCATTCATCCATCCATCCATCCTTCCTTCCTTCCTTCCTTCCTTCCTTCCTTCCCAACCTTTCTCTTATTAGGAAATCATTCATTTTCTTTATTGCTGGAAACCACAATGTACATATTAAATGTTAGGCTTAGAAAGCAAACAAATATATGAAATAGATTGGAATATCATTCTTTTCTCAAAGAGAGGGGGCCCATTCATTTCAAGTCCCTGAGTATCAGAAGCATTACAAGTATTGAAGAAACTATGTTATATCCTAAATGAGTGGGCACTGTTACACCATGATGTACATTCATATTTTAATCATTGTAATTAAGAATAGATGCCCATGTCTGCATAGAGAGCTCATTTATGAAAGCTAAGGAGAAGCCCAGTTTCTTTCAACTCACACAGATTTTCTCAACATTTATACCTCTTTTGAAATATTAAAAAGGAACACCAAGAATTCCACCATGAATCACTGCATTTCTGCATTCTCCTCTTCTTGAGGCAAACAAATTCTGCTGAGATCACATCACACAGCATCTGGTAATAACTGTAACAAGATTAATCACAACATACAAATGATGGAGAAATATAGTACGGTATATATTTTCCTATATGTATTGCTATAGCAAAATGTTCTGTTGGAAGTAGAATAGTTTAGCTTAGTTTATAGTTTAGTTTAGCTTAGTTTGTTTAATTTATCTTAGTCTAAGAATTTTTCTAGACATAATTTTTAATAAAACATTATCTCTTTAGTTTTTACGTAGGAAGGCTGTACATCAAATTCAATAATTTATAAGAAACTTCTTCAAAGCCTGAAAGTGAGCATTTTACAAAACCAGATACTTTTGCACAAATTATATGCTTAACACACACACACAAAACCACAAACACAATTAATCTACCATATTTGTTATGAGTACTAAATAAAATTAAGCCAGACTTGAATAGACTACGAGTCATTCTAAACTTGCAGGGGTGTCAAATTGCCGGCCCATGGGCCCGACACATCATCTGGAAGCTGCACCCACCCCATTGCCGGCAATAGCAAACCCATCCCAATACATTGCACAACGTCACGTGACGTCCTGAGTTTGACATGTCTGTATCTAAAGCCTTTTTATATTTGCTTTGCTCCAGCAGCGTTTCTGGACCCTTATATATATTTATGCAATGTCACCAGTTTAAAATAGTGATGTCAAGATATTTTTGTTAAGTGCTGCAGTAGCTTGAGGGCCAGGCATTAACTGAATGATGATTTCCAATTGATCAGCTGGAAGAAACACTGATTGGCTGATAGAGATGAGCATAAACTTAGTGTTCAAAAGACAGAGATTGAACATGAACACATGGCCAGTTTTCAAATGGTTTCAAGGGACTGTAGACTAGAAATGGAGTTGGAACAATGCAGTAAACTAAAATTCAATAAAGCAAAACATACACATTGTATTTAACTTTTATTCTATATTTATAAAATGAGAAATATCATACTACCAGTACAGTCTTCATAGTACTTTGCTAAATTCATATGATATTTAATCAATGAACCTTGAATTGCAATTTAGTCTTACAGAACCCCTAGAGGAAAATAACTAGAGCAATGTTACTAAAAAAAAAAAAAAAAATCTAATGCTTTGCTGACATCAAATAGTTGTCTTAATTTATGCAACCCAGATTTCCTGCAGCCATATAAATACTCTAGTTCCATGCCATAAAGAGATTTGTAAGTAATAATCAGCATTGTGAATTGTACCCAGAAGCAAACTGGGAGCCAGGGCATTTCACAGAGCAAAAGTGTAACATGGACTTAATGGACCATTTGAACCTTCAGAGTTCTTCAGAGTCAGCCCTATATACAGTGCATTATAGTAGTCCATTTGGAGGGTTACCAAAGCTTGAGTGATCATGTATGTCATGATTCTGTGCCAGCCTGTGTTCCCAACAGCTGAGTCTGGGGAATCTGAGGAGGAGGTGGAGGAGGGATTTGAAGGCCATCAGGGTCAGAGGGAGGCTACAAGAATCATGGTTTGATAAAGAGCCTGGGCCCTCCAGTCGTGTTCCTGATGAAGCTCAGCTGTGTGGTGAGAATGAGCCAGACTTGGAGGATTCACACCTGATGGACATGATGATTGATGCTCATAGACGCCGGCAATTAGCGAGAGCAGATCAGCAGCAACAAATACAGCAGGGGAGGAGGAGAAGGCACTAGAGGCAATGCCTTGGGACTGCTGTATAAAAAGGGAAGGTGTGGGCGGTGCTGGTTGCTGAAGGCAACATTGCAAAGTACTTCATGGGATCATGTTCTGTTAGTATTGCCGGTGACTACTTTTCTGTTTGTATCGTGTTTTATGTGGACAATTTCCTCCATTTGGATTGTGTTTTGCTGCTTTTGTTTCTGAACTATTTGGCAGGTTTGTTACCCATATTAAGAGGGGTTTGTTTTGTTTTGAGTCTCCAGCCTATTGTCTCAACAGGGGTTTGGTCCTTGCGCCTTTAACAAGGACGGCTATAAGCTGGGATAGAACAATGTATGGGACTTGCTTATCCAGAAAGGGGCACAACAAAGAGCTGTGGAAAAGCCCCATGTCACATTTGTTACCTGCTGTTTGTGAACCCCAAATTATGTACTAATCCTGTCTGATGTAGAATTAAAGACTGGAAATCATCATCTCCAAGAGACCCTAAAACCCAAAGTACTCCATCTTGCTGTGATTGAGCTGTATCTTCTCCTTTCCGATACAGAATCCTCAGACCCCAGGCAATGAGATAAAACTGCACTGCATCACTTGGTTGTTCAGAGCAGAGATATGGAGCTGGGTATTATCCATGTATTGATAATACCATATCTCAAGATGTTGAACGACCTTATCCAGTGGCTTCAAGTAGTTAAACATGAGCAGGGAGACAGTTGAGCCCAGAGGCATTCCACACAAGAGGAGCTGTGAGATAAATTTCTCCCCATATCCCTCATTAATACTGACTGGAACAAACTGCAGAGAAGGTTGAGATACAGCATAAAACAATGTCCCAATTCCTAATTCCTGGAGCTGATCCAGAAGGCAACCAGAGTTGATGGTATCAAAGGTTGCTAAAATGGACACACTATCTCCATCCTGCTTCCTCCAGAGATCATCCACAAGTGCAGACAATGCTGTTTCATTCAGAGCCCTTTGAAGGCAGAAGGCAAGCATCTTCTCAACAATCTGTCCTGAAATTTTGCCCAAAATGAAGAGGAGAGGGAAAGGCCATGGTCTCTTTAAAGGATAGCAGAACTGTCTCCCCCACAAGGATGTACAAATGCTGCTTAGATTTACCATACACTATTTCACAGTCAGCCTTAGCTAGCTCAGAAGGATAAAAATATATACTGAAATGACCAAACTTTCAACCAAGAGCCCTGCCCATTTCCTCAAGATTAACAGGATCAAATTGAGCCCTAATAACTAAGCTAGGATGTATTTCAATCTACTCCAAATGATGTGCACTAAGGCTAAGATCTAATTTATGCTAACCATTAATTAGGAATTCATTCTATAACTTTAGTTTCAGATTTATACCTCCATTTTGTATCAGCTCAAGGCTTAGCTCCATAAAGTCATACAGTAAATGTATTCTCGTTATACTGGTGCAGAGCCTTCCTTTTCAGTCCTAAATATAAATATGTTTGCTGGCATCCAATCAAATCATAGTTTTAATTTATCCAATCCAAATAGTGAGACTGTTTATAAAAAGTGTTATGAATGCTGACTATAATCACATTTGAGATTCCTCCATTTCTTTCAATGATAAATATATATATATTGAGTTTTGAGTTATGTTAGTTCCTGGTACTTCTTTAGTTAAATATTTATAACTTAACATTGATCAACAAACATCAACATGTAAAATGACCAAGATTGAGAAAGAAAATTGATTGCCCATGAAACAGAACCCGTGTAACATTTTGAAAGAAAATGTTTTCCTCTTCTCAAATTCAATTGTAGGAGATTGGTTTGCTTAATGACAGAGGAGAGACAGGATCTGATATCACTGGTCTATCAGATTTAAATCCTATGACTCTCAGATTCAATTTCAACTCCATATTGGACTGGTTCCTTATTTAAACTCTATTTTCTGACTTTATTTGGAAATCTTGATTGATTTACAAACATGTTGCAATAACCTGTCAGTTATAAAATCAAATTACTATTGTCCAATCAGACTGAAAATATTAATAAGACTTTTGGTTACAAGGCAACATTATATGGCCCACTGTCATCTACCATATTCTGTAAACTTTAAAAATATTGTCATGATGCTGATGATGAAAGGGGAGGAATGTGGCCAGAAAAATTGGCCTCCTCTTTCCAAGCTGTGCTATTAGAAAATATAGAATATTGAGATATCCAATGTGTAAGAACATTAGACAGAAGCATAAGTGTTTCATAATTTGTCTAAATTACAATTAGATAAACAAGTCTTGCTACATAAACAAGACTTTGCCTTTCATCCTCTGGCAATTAAACTTGCACCATAAGCACTCTTTAAGTTTGAATTTGTTGATTTTGTTGTAGGATGAAGGAAAATACAGACCGCTGGAATTAACAAAGGTGGAAGGTGCTGAAGTCAGCATAGATAATAGCCTGGCCAAACCTTTTGCATTTAAATGTGCTCCTCAGGCTGGAAACAGGGTTTTCTATTTCTGCACTACATCCGCCCAAGAATTGAAGAGGTACATTCCACTCACTAAATTAGTATATTTCTTCTCTTATTTTCATGATGCATTTATTAAGTTATGTAACAGCAATACCCAACAGCCTGTAATGGAAGGGAGAGAGAATAAACATATGGCACTCAGACTTAATTACAATTCTCTCTTTCTCTGGCAAGGATTGTCTCTATTAGCATTCTGTTATTTCCAGTAAGTTTTCCTTGGGGGGAGGGGCTTGGAGTAATTTGTTTTTTCTTTAATGTAGCAGTTCTGTTAGATCACATTAGAGTTATATCTGGTCCAAGATTCTATTTTTCACATGACCAACAAGACCTCTATCAAAAGTTCAGAAGCAAAAGAAGAAGAATGTAATGTTTTTCTCTATAGTCTATACAATTCCTTGTCTATTCATAGACATGGTGTGTGCCAGAAGTCCCATTAATGCATTTCCAGTGAGTTACCAATCCATTCTTTTGGACTAGACAACTAGAGAAAGAAATATCAAATGTATGCAACTCAAGAGGCTTTAATCTTTTCTTGCATAAGCCTTTCAACTGCTGTTAGGCAATGCATAATTCTTTTCTTCCAGACATAACTTGGCATTTTTGTATTTTTTTTTCCACAAAGGTGGGTAGATGCCATGGAAAAAGCTGCACATCCTATTCATCAGGTAATATGGTTTTTAAAATATTAAAAATAAATTTATTGTTTGATATAGAGGTTAATGGAAACTGGAACCTCAGGACAGATATGAAAGGTTGCTGTGGGTCTATCACTTTTAAAGATGCTAAGTTCATTGTCTGAATTGCAATCCCAATGTCCAATTTACAGAAACTCCACTAAGAGCCAGATTACAACTGGCTACAGTTCTGGCTGTTGAATGCCAGGTCATTCTGTAATAAAGCTGTCCTCATACATGATTTGATAATACATGAGAGAGCTAACTTGGCTTGTATCATTGAAACCTGAGTAGGCCAAGACAGGGGTTCCCCCTCTCAGAGATGTAGCAACTTGGGTTTTATGTTGGCCCTCAGAGGATCTGACCTGCAGATAACCAGGTTAGAGATTATCTGAAGAAGACTGTTGCTGCTGTACTATTCTCCCTGATGCATAATATCTTCCCTGCCTGAGCTTCTGGTTCCCTTGCTGGGTTGGTGATTGAAACCCTTAGCCTTGCAATACTTGGAAATTTCAATTTGCTGCCCAGTCACACTGAGTCTAGAGTAGCTCTCTAGGTCATAGCTTCAATGGCAACTATGGACCTGTATGGACCATCAGGCTCCAAGCATACTGAAAGCTGCATACTAAAGCTAGTTTTTATCTTGGAGCAGTTGACTATGATTTAGGTTTTGCAAACATAATCATCAATTCATTGTCAAGGTCAGATCACTTTCTGATTGCTTTTTGGTTCACTGGTGCCACCCACACTGCAAGGGGCAAAGTCCTGATACAATAGGATTCCAGAAGGAATTTGAGCTTTTCCCTAAGGGTCTGGTGGACTGTTTGGCTGAGATGGCATCCTGAAATGAGTATGTTGCTGAGGCCTTAGATCAAATTGCATAGCCTCTCTTCCTATGCCAATATTGGGACACCTCTTGATTTTCTGAGGAGCTCCAGGAAATGAAGTATATAAAGAGATGCCTGGAGCACTCTTAGAGGAAGACTAAGAATGAATCCAACCAAGCATAAGGACGCCTATTAGGGCTTACATTGTAGTTATAAAGATGTTAAAATGTTCTCATTTCTCTATCCTTATTGTATTTGCTGGAACCTGCCTGGCAGAGTGTTATGGCAACCCATTTGTTGATGAATATGGACAATCCATAACATCATCTCTAGGATTTATGAGGAATATTCTTGATATTTTACAGATAAACTTGCTCAGATCCACTCAGAATTGGAGTCCAACTGGTCAGTTCCAGTTGAAATGTCTGGGGCAAAAGCCTTGTGGAGTTATCTGGAGTGAATGAAATGGACAGAGTTCTCCAATCTGTTACTATGACACATGTGCTTGTTAGATCAAGTCCTCCTGGATAATTAAAGTCACCTGGGAAGTGACCTGTAATTGAGTTTATAGAATGGTGTTAGCTTTTTTGAGTGAGGAGGTTGTGCCATTGGTTTTGAAGTAATTCTAGTCCACACTCTCCTCAAGAACCCTGACCAAGACCCAACAATCCTGGACTATTATCTGGTCTCCAACTTTCTCTTAGGATCTGTGGTGAAGATGGGATGAGATGGCATGGTGCATCCATCCTCATGATCCTTGATTTCTTTGCAACTTTCGTTACCATCAATCACTATATTTTTTTGGATCAACATCTGGGATTGGGGGTGAGAGGCATTGTTTTACAGTGGTTCTCCTCCATTCCTCCTCTGGTTTCAATTAATGTTGATTAGGAGAGAGAGATTCTGCACATGACTTCTTACCTGTGGGATCCTCAGGGTTTGACACCAATTCACTCTCTCTGTGTGTATGTGTGCACTGTATACAAACATGCACACACACATACTTATAAGCTGCCCAGAGGTATTTGAAGATGGCTGGCTAGTAAATGCAATAAAAAATAAACCTCCAAAATTAATGGCCTTATCATAGCCATTTTGTTTTCTTCCTAGTGTTTTCCCACACATTCAGGGTCCCCCCCTTTTTTTTGATTAATCAAGTATTGATCCATTGGTTGCAACAAGAATTGACTGATCAGCTTGTTGCCCAAACCTGAAATCATGGGCTAAGAAAGAATGGTTGCCTCAAAATAACCCTGGGGCTTTCTGACCTAAGGCAGAACTAGAACTCAGTCTCCTGGTTTCTAGCTGGATAGCTTAACAATTACACTAAATTGGCTCAAAGCCTTTTTACGCGCTCTTGTTTCAGTAATCAGTGATCATTTAATGTGCCAATAAAGAAGTGGCCTACCACTTATTTTCTGTTTGGAATAATACTAATAATAGAAAAGGAGTAGATAACAAAATACAAACAGCTGCAAATAGAAATAGAAGAACTGTGGCAGAACAAAGCAAAGGCAGTACCAATAGTAATAAATGCCTTGGTTGCAATCCCAAAACAACAGGAGCACCATTTGAACACTTAACAAAGTCACCATCAGTAAATTGCAAAAGGCAGCTATACTCAGAACAGCTTACATCCTGCAACAATATTTGTAACACCATCAAACATCAACATCTGCCTATCCCAGATGTTTGGGAAAGACTCAAAGGTGGATAAAAATGCCAAATCCAGTCTGACTGTGCAACAAACCATAATAATGCAAATGTTTTATGAGTATTTCAGTTCAGGCTTGAAACATGAGTCAGTGTAACAAAGCTCATCCTTGACAGTGAGAAATAACTGCAATTGGATGCTCAATCATCTAATTGTGCCCATGACAGAGCTGCCCCTTAGAAACTTCTCAAACTTCTGTGACATTTTAAAGACTAGGAAACTTATGTGCAATAAAATGTCATGGATTAGAGCTGCTTTATCAGCTGCAACCCACAGGAACTTTTGATAAATGATTTTTTTTTTCAAGAGACTTAGATGTCATGAAGTTGACTTATAAGCAAGCTCCAGAGTGAATGTTGATACCTAAAAATAGTTTTTGGGGTTACATTTCAGTTGCCTCATTTAAGGGCCCTATTTAGGAAGCCTATTGAATAATTATCACCTTCATTTCACTACTTAAGCAAAATTTCTACAAGCATTAGATATATTTCTCAATAAGTGTTTCGATGTCACGAAATGGTCACTTACAGAAAATGTAATGATTTTTAATAATTGAATGTGGTAGAAGATCTTCTGATAGATTGGATATGACAGAAGTTTAGCCATAAAAATGAAAGGTATTTGTTACATACTGAACAAATAGTTGAAATGTCCACTTTTAAACACATGTAGAGACGTTTGCATGTCAGCAGTTTCTGTACTAGTGGAAAAAATGACTTATTTTCTAATGTTAATATACAGAACCATGTGTGGGAAGATGTCACCATGCACAATACAAGCCTTCCACCACTTGCTATCAAAAACCCAGAGTGCCTGGGGCTCCTCCACCAGCTGGACAAAACCAAGAATACCTGGGTTCAACATTATTGCATTTTGAAAGATGGCTGTTTATATTTTTATGCTAGCATACGTTCTACACATGCTGTTGGTAGGTGGCTCTGCCGTTCTGTCTTTTTTCACCCTTTTTTCTCTTTAGAGAAATAGTTTTTATTTACATAAAATGTAATTTATGTACTAGTGTTAGTTACATAAAATAGTTTATAATATTTTGTAATATTGTGATAACAGTAATATTATAATTTTAATGTTATATAAACTTCCATAGTCTTTTGAATTATGCTAGAAAAATCAATGATCTTCTCCCACCAATTTATTTTATATCCTTCTTAAAATAAGTAACGTAGTTTTATAACATAAGTATTTAGAAATCATGATAGTAAATGGGACAGCTGATTTCATCTTCCATATGCTGAATGTGTGAGGACAGCCTTCTATTTAGCATCTGTGTACATTAGATCCAAAAAAAGATTCTGGTGAAACATAGACAAATGTAGATGTGTAGATGATGACCAAACCCACATGATTTAGAACATATATGTATATGTGCATATGTGTATGTATATATATATATATATATATATATATATATATATATATATATATATGTATGTATGTATGTATGTATATATGTATGTGTATGTATATATGTGTACATACAGATACATATATGAACCAATAACAAACTAAACTAAAATAGAACAGAGAAAACAATAACAAAAGAGAGAAATAAGAGAAAAGGTGCAAAGTAAAATAAGAAAACAGAAGTAAGAAAAAAGAGGAAGATATAAAGGTATAAAGATTTGGCTTCTGATATTCTTTACAGCAGTTATAAGTACAGTTATATTTTAACTTCTCTCTCTAAAGTTATATTACTCTTTTTTCTATTATTTATACTGTTAAATCATTAAAACTATAAATCACAAGTTCTTTTGTTTTTTTCATTTTCTTGCAAAAACTCCATAAAGGGTTTCTAGTTACCTATAAATGTAGATGCTGTCCTGTCTCTGTCAAAGAAGTCAGTTATCCATCTCAGCACGCTTATTCAGTGTTGCCTGTCCTGATGCTCAGGCATTCTCACTTTTTCTCTTGCTTGCTATCAACTACCATTGTTATATATTTATTTATTTATGAGACTTATATACCACTTTAAGTGCAAGCACTCTCTAAGCGGTGTACACCAGTAAGCAATGTATATATATATATATATTTACATTGCCCCCAACAATCTGGGTCCTCATTTTACCTACCCCGGAAGGATGGAAGGCTGAGTCAACCTTGAGCCGGTGAGATTTGAACCACTGACCTGCTGAACACAGTCAGCTAAAGTGGCCTGCAGTACTGCACTCTAACTGATGCGCCACCTCATATACTTCACATTATACAATTGCTCTAAAATTGTAAGCTTATTTGGAGGGACAGTTACCTTGGCTGGACCACTCACACATGCTGCTTTATTTATTCCCTGTCATTGAAACTCAGATCCTGAGACTTGAAACAGGACAACAACAAGAAGTGGAAAGTGATACAGCCAAAGGAATGGTCAGATACGAGATAGCATAGTGCAGTGTTTCTTAACCTTGACAATTTTAAGGCATGTGGACTTCAACTCCCAGAATTCTGGGAGTTGAAGTCCACATGCCTTAAAATTGTCAAGGTTGAGAAACACTGGCATAGTGGGTGAGGCAAGAGGCTCAGAAGAGACCCTCCCTAGCTTCTTGGGCCGTAAAGGAGATTTTGTACTTTCAGACTTGCAAGATTCTGTTAATGTAGTTTTATAATAAGGTAGAGTTAACCATCTGGTCACATTTCCTGTCTGATCTACCTCATAAATCTGATATGATTGGATCCATGTAGTAGTAAAGTCATACTTCAGTAAAGAGTAATTTACACAATCTGACAGAAACAGTTTTATGACTCCTCAAGAGACCATTGCTGGACTCACCAGTGTTGGATACTTTCTGTCCAGTTTTCAACCTTTCTTTTCTAGGGGAAAATTGTTGAAAATGTGATCAGATTGCAGATCTGGAGGGCCCTGACAAGATACTTTCCACTCAGGTTTTGCACTAATCTCATGTGTGATTTCTATCAGACCTGGGATTTGGGTAGTGTAACTATTCTGGTTCTCCTTGATCTCTCATTGGCATTTGATATTATCAGTCATGGTATTCTTCTGAATCAACTATGGGGACAGGGATTGGGGGCATAATATTGTGGTGTTCTCCTTTCACTGGGGTCAGTTTCAGTCAGTGTTGGCAGAGGGGAGAGGTCAGAGCCAAGGATCCTGGTTTGTGGGATCCTTCAGAATTCCAGACTGTGACATGCTTCTGGTCCTTCCATCTATTATACAGATCATCTCATGGGCCCCAAGAGGGCAGTTATTTCTGCTGCCATGATTGTTACTTTGCTGTTTAACTTTTATAAGCTGCCCAGAGATTCATGCCTGAGTGACTAGCCAGAGGAATTAAATGTTTAATTAAATAAAAATAATTAAATTAAGCTACAGTGAATATAATAAACCCATTTTATATTTTTTCCAGATTTTTCATTCATGTCTTCTCAAAGCCCAGTTTCATATGTTCATTTTGCTCACACTGGTGAAACAGTCTCTTGAGATAGAGGGATTCCTGTTTCCATGGTACAGTAGTCTCTTGAGACAGAGTAATCCTGCTTTACAATACTAAAATGCAGAATTGCTGAATTCTACAGCTATCTGTGTTTTATGAAGCAATTGTCTGCAAGTCAGCATGAAACTCTAATTCAAACATCCTTTACCAGCTTGGTTTTCAGTCCAAATTAAGTAGTCTTAATGGCCTTTCAAAGTATGAGCAGGAGTCTTTCCAATCATATCTTTTGGAGTTTTTCCAGTATTCTTTGCCACCTACTTATGATTCTATTTTTTTTCCCCCTAGGGGGTATTTACTTGCAGGGCTACACTGTGAGTGAACAAAGCCTTGGACACAGAAGATCTGTGATTGAAGTAAAGCCACCTTCAGAAGAATTTACTACTTTCTACTTATGTGCTGAAAGTGTAAATGAAAACCAACGGTAAATTATTTCATCTTTTTTTCCAACTATCTGTTTATTTTTTTTCCTCTGGTTGCTTGCTTGTTTATAGATTACTGTAGGTGCAGATAAAATTACACGGAACTACAAAATGAAAAAAAAAGGGAAACATTGCTTGGACAATTAAAAATCTTATTTTATTTATATAAGGATTTAAGATTTAGTTATATAAGGTCACTCAGCTTGTGCCTAAGGCAGAACTATTACCCACAATATTCTGGTTTCTAGTCTAGTACCTTGACTACTACACCAAATTGACTCTCAAAGTATGAATATTTTCTTACAAATATAGAGGCAAGGGATAAATAATGGAAAAGCCTAATTATTGAAAAGATAGCTCTGTTTTCAAATAAAAATATGAAAGTAAGTAATATTAGTCTCCTTCAATGTTGGTCTTTAAAGATAGATAATTTTTATAGTTATCGTGGGCTGCAACTCCATTGAATAGAAGCATTATCCACAATTGGCAGATTTTATGTATTTATATAAAATGGATTTTAAAGATCTTTTTCTCTATATAATATTACATATGTATAAACAAATATTAGGAGAACCCTTCATATTGTGCAATGCAAAGAATATTTTATGTAATATCCAATTGCAAATAAATTCAGCAATTTACCATATACAATAGCACTAATTGAGTTAGTATTATCTATGTATCTTAATCTAACATTTAACAATGAGAAATCAAGTAGAAGTGCTAAAAGAGTGGAATCAAATCTGCTGACAAAATGTAATTTAATAGTTCCACAGCAGAGTCTTCCTTTAAAGTTCTGCCTGGGTAAATGGTAACTTTGGGTCAAATCCAAGAACAAATGAAGAAATGTAAGCTCTTTGTAGGGAAAAAAGGTGCCTTTCAAATATTAAGTAGTCTAGGATACATTCATAGAAATGGTAGGAGATCTGCAAATGATCAATTCTTCAAAACAAGGTATTAAATATTAATAAATTGATTATGACCTAGGTTTTCCTGGAGAAATTCTTAAGCCAAGCTGGACAACCTTAGATCTAAGTGACAATGTGACCCCAAGTTTCTTTTTCTCTCGTATGTACTCAGAAATGACTCAAGGCTAGAAGTACACTACTCAGTCCTGATTGAGTCAGAGACATGAAAACTAAGCCAAGCAATAACAAAACCAAACCCACTTCATAATATTCCTCTGTTCACAGCATCCCAAAAATTGTCTTTTGCCCCTTTATGCTATCACAGAGTATCTGACTTGGTATCCTCACAAGTGTTAGATTTCAGTTCCCTTGAATCCACACTAGTAGAGATTCACTGGCTAGGGATTTTGGAGTTATTGTGATAGCAAAGGCTGGCACAATAAACTTAAAGATGTATTAGTCTTTATAAAAAATGTATGTCTCATAATATAGATAGCTATACCCTTGGGATGTCTTTCCCACAGTCAACTAAATCCAGCTTTAGCCAGAGACCTAATTAAAATAATTTACATATTGTGGATTTAAATGGGTTTATTTTAAGGTTGACTTAATCTGGATCCAACCCATCAATTCAGATGAATTTTTTTTTTGAAAAAAGTATTTAGTCAGGTGAATAATCATCTATTCATGCTAAGGTACAGCCAGCTTTGTGAAAGAGCAGGAGGATTAATGTTTATGTATTTTCAAGGTAAGGCAGATATCTGTAGTAAGTAAAAACATTGCAAAGATTGCAGAGATTAGCTACTTTCTGTAAACTGATCCAAAGAATAAAGTGTGATAGTAACAAATGGATATCATGCATTTTGAAACTCTAGGTCAAGAGTTCCTAATCTTGGCAACTTAAGATATGTGGACTTCAGCTCCCAGAATTCCTGGCTGGGGAAGTCCACACATCATAAAGTTGCCAAGATTGGGAACTCCTGTTCTTGGTGATACATGTTTTTTTTAAGATATGTTTGATATCTCATTCACTATGCTGTACTTAACTGTGTGTTTTAATTTGCAGTTGGATAATAAGTCCATTCAGTTAATGATCAGCTTTGGCTTGTCCTTTTTTCCAGGTGGATCAGTGCCTTGAGGGCCTCAGTCAGTAAATGGCTCCCTTGGAACAAGGCCACAGAAGACTTCACGCATTGACTGCTATAAGAAGTACAATGTGAAAGGAAAACTGAGACTTCTGTACAAGTACAACTACTGGTATAGGCTTTTGTTATGAATTTTCAGAACATGAAAGCAGCTGCTGGCATAAATTCTTGATCGTGTCCTGGTATCCCATGAGTAACAAGTCCTCTATTTGTTGATTATTTTTTTTTGAAGTATATTGAATTAAAAACTGTATACTTGGATGTTCCTTTATTTATTTCAGCATCTTCTCTTTCGTTATTTGAGACAATCCACATGAGTATCTGTATCATTTGAATACAACTTGTTATGCTCTCATTTTCACTGTTTAGAACTTAATTCTCTGAGGAGGCTTGCCAGTTTCTCCTTGGAGAAGTTGTCATTTACTTTTACAGAGATTAAAATGACATTTTTCTGAATAATATTGCTTATTTCCACCAACCCCTAGAGTTTTTAGTGCATTTGTGGGACAATAGTTGTTATAAATAGCAGCATGTAATTTTGTGCTCTTGCAGTGCTGCTGACTTAATTATAGACATCTCTTATTACTTGTAACATCTGATGTTTCTCACAGTGGTGGGATGGTATGCTCTCTTCAGAGTTTCCGCCAAATTCTGATGAAATCATAGTTTAAATGTTTGGGGATGTATCCAAGGTTCCTTGAGTAGAAGATAGCTCAGCTGTCTCTTCTTTCTTTTAGGCCCTGTCTTCATCAGGCTGTAATATGAGAAAAAAGAGGGATCTCCTGCCACTTTCCACCCCTTCTGTTTTTTAAAAAAATATTTTTTAAGTTTTAATTACATTAATAAAAGATAATACAAATTAAAAGAGAAAAATAAAAAGGTGCAAGAAAGTAAATACAAAAGAAAAAAATAGAAAAAGGGGGGGGGAAATAATAGAGCAAATTTCCACCTTATAACAAGCATAAACAATTTCACTATCTCTTCACCTCCTCTTACTCAACAGATATAAACCCAGAAGTCATCTCTTAACTGAAGGCAAATCAGTTTTCATATTACATTTCATATCTCAACTCATGACTGTAAGAAAATCCATATTTAGAAGTCATAGGTAGTTCCAATATGAACAAAAAATTAAAATTTAACAAGACAAAGAAGGATAATTTCTCCTTTAAAGAAAACAAACTCACAAAAATCCTTCAGCTTAAAGGACAGATATAAAGCCAATTTAAGTATTAACAGATTAGGATTCATAAAGTAATATGTTAACTGAAAACAAATCCAATACAGAACTGTTTTCCAGTCAAGATGTCAGAAAATCCAAAAAAGAACAACTTAAAATTACATGACCCCATTTTAACCCTGATTAAATTAACCAACTTTGTGTTCCTTTGACATAAACCAATTTTGCTCTTTAATGATTGATGATTCTTGTTTTGAATTTCTTCAAAACTTTAAAAACTTTTGTGAGTCCAACAAAGGAAATTATTCTGATTGTTTTCTGGGATTATCATTATATTTCCTTAATTCTTAATTCATCATCCATTTTTTAATATCTAATAGCAAATTCTTGTTCAAATTCTTATTTACATTGTTTCTAGATGGATTTTGTTGCAGATTTTTTCTGTAACATCTTCTAGGAACAGACTGTTTTCAGGAAGACATAACACCACTGATATTGATTCAAAGTCACAATGCAGTTCCTAAAAAATGTTTCTTTTATAAGTTGCTTGTCTTATCATACCTCCAATATCAAAAATGTTTTTTTCTTTCTCACAAGACTGCATTGATTATTTAAAATTAATTTCAATGTCCTAAAAGTCCAATATTCCAATGTTTTCTGAACTCTTAATGCATTTAAACTTTCTATACCCCAAATCTTGTCTTGCTTTCTGCTGTTTATTTTAAATTCTTAACGCTTATAAAGATACAACTTCACTTTCTTACACTGAAGATTAAAGGTACTTGCTCGGTGTTTCCAGCCTTATTTTAAAGGTCTCTTTGAAGCAATTAATAGGCAATTTCCTGCTGTATATCAAAAGCTTCCTTGTAAAACAAGTGGAATGGGCATTTTTCAATCGATTTAGTACAGGGCATGGGCATGGGCAAACTACCCATCAGGCTTTATTAAATTTATTGAATTTGGGGACCCTCCCAGTAAAGCAAGAAAGGATATCCAGCTGCCAGAAGCAGGAAGGAGTGACATACAATGGGAAAAGCGTCCATTCTGAGCCTTTCAACTCTTACTGCAAATGGAAGTCCTGGAAAACAGTGTCTAAGGTTGGGAGAGGAGGGACATGCCCATAGGAAAACCAAAAGTGGCAATCTACTCAGCTCTTGACCACCTCAGCCATCACTTCCTCATAGATTGTGTCTACAGAAGAATTGTGGCAGAAGATGGAAAATACTACCGGTACTTTAAAACTGGAAATGTGTAATCAAATTGCCTCAGTTATTTGTTATGCATCACACAAAGGTGACATCATAAAGATATGCCATTTAAAAATGATTAGGACATTCTCTGACTACCAGAACATGAGGGAGACCTTAAGCTCCACTCTTAAACACAGTTGCTAGAGAGCAAAAGCTACTGATAACATAATAGCTTACCACTCAATAAGAACTTCTAGGATAGTGTCATAATGGGAGGTATTTGCATACAGTATATGAGAATGGAATGTGGTTGATGGAGGCTTGCTGATTCCTTGAAAGGGTCTCTAACCTTTCCATCCATAATCCCTCCACATTCCTCAACGATCTTGGAAAAAGCAAACTCAGTATTGCTGTTAACCCTTACTTTTCCCTAGAGGATTCAAACCACAACCCCTCTCCCATCAGTAACTGTAGAGAAGACTTGTGCTAAAGTCTGCCCCTTTTCTGAAAGAAGCATCACTGATACAATAATTCAGAATCTTTATTATACTGGTATAAGACAAATCCCAGAAGTAGGAGAATATTGGAAGGAAAGAAAAACAAAAACAAAAAAAGGAAGAATGGGAAAAGAGAAGAACAATGAGGAGATTGATCTCCAGTCTGCTCTTCCCTCAGCCCAGGATTTCCCATGACATAGAGAGAGAAATAAACAAAAAAACCATTGTAGGACATTGCTCCATAAAATACAGTAAAATTGAATCTATTCTGCAGATATCCAATACTGTTCTTAGTCTCTTGTGCATTATTCCGTTATCTCTAATCCAGATTTCTGTGGATCAGGGTTTCTTTTCTGATGTGGTTTTCAACCATCCCTGGGCTTGTGGTTGCACATCCTCTCCATTTAAAAAGTCACCCAAAAGAGGAAAAATCCCACTCTTGACTGGCTTCTCAGCATCTGATTTTGCATGCTTCAGATGTCCATGTACCCACGCATTCTTTTAACTCTTCCAATGTCTGAATATCTTGGAATGGCTTTCACTGTAGTGTATATGTAATTGATCATACTTCCTCTCTAGTTAACAAAAGGCATGATAACAAAAAAAAAGTATATTCCTTTTCCCATTCCCTCAATTCCCCTGTACTTTTATTTTATTGAACAAGGTAAAACTGTTCTTTTTTTAAAAAAACAAAACAAAACAAAAAAAAAACAACTGTACAGGCTAAGCTATTCCAAAGTCCAAATTATCATTTCTGGTGGATTTTTGGATAATAATCCAGTTGTTTTAAATGAGAACTTCAGCATTACATCTATATGATCAATTGCTCTACTGGTATAATGCCCATTCAGAAAATTGCATGAAAACTTTCACTGAATAAAGAGAATGAATAGGTTTCTAGAAAGTAAAATGTGGGCAAATTATGCTTAATGTATATAGGGAGAATGACAATATTAAATAAGCTGAACATTATGTAGATGTTATTTAAGGCACATTTAGAAATTACATATTTAAAAATAAATATTTTATTTATTTTTAATTTTTCTGGTTAATGCAGTGTTAATGCAAGCTTTAGATCACGTAAATTCTTGTAAATTCTTATTTCTAATTTGGCTAATTGCTTGAAGTTTCATGCTGTTGCATCAGCTAGTTGAAGCTGCTGCTAAACTCTTGCTGATGTTACTACAGAAATTTAAAAATGCATTAAGGGAGCTTAGATGAATATGAAGATACATTGTGCAGAACATAAATATCTAAAAAAATCAATTTCATGCTTTAAAAATGAAATTAATAATTGTATGAGCTGTGGGATAATTGCATATAAGAGAACCATTTGACTTAGAAATTCCTGAAGACACATTGCCCTAGCAAAAGTTGAACCATTCAGGCTGGTTGAAAGTATCTAAATAGGCAGAGGTTTTAACCCATCCTTTACTCTTGTCAACTTAATATTTTAATATGGAACAAATAGCTTATGATATCAAACAAAATAGTATTTATCTTTATTTTTAAAAGTCATTAGTTTTACTTCTCTAATTCTTTAAAAGGAAGGAAGGAAGGAAGGAAGGAAGGAAGGAAGGAAGAAGATACAGCATGGAGGCTGATGCTGTTAGAAGATGCTCTTTAGTGTTGCTAATAAATTGACTGGAACAACAGGATATAATTTAAAGTGAACAGTCAAAAATATATACTAAGGTTGCATCCAGTGGAGCATAGCTGAAGAACAAAACAAAGACACATAACTTTATCATTGTATGTTCATTAACTTCCTTGTAATGTACTTTAATTTCTAGATGTCATACTTTCAAGATTCTGTTAATTAAGCCTTGCCATGAAATAGAATTCGCTCATGCCATGTTTTCTGTCTGGCCTACCTGGGAAGGATGATATCAATCTTGCAAGTCTAAAAGTACAAACACCCCATTGTCTCCTTTACAGCCCAAGAAACTAGGGAAGTCCCTTCTGAGCATCTTCCTCCATCCATTATGCAGCTGTGAGTTATGTCCTTTCTTATCTGACATCCCTTAGGCAGCATTTCTTTCCATGGTATCTCAAGCTCTTTCTCACATAACATTACATCTACTGATATAGGTCCATGGATGACTGGGAGTTAAGCTGGGAGACTTTATATTTCTACCACAAATTGTGATCAGAGTATGAATGCACAATATCAAAGTACATTTTGAAAACATAAAAACCATGAATACATAAATCTATTAGAAATAAAGAGTACCCATAAAGTTAAAATCTATTGCAGTTTAAATGTCTATGAAGATTCTCAATCATCCAGATCATGGTTGTCCCAAAAATGCTTTTCAAAAGGCAACTGTTGTTGAGGCTACTTGGGGGCATATTTATACCCTGAGAGTTACTTGAATCAGAGTGCAAATGAGT